TATCAAATCGCTTTTCTGTTTGCATAATAACCGTCATCGTAATATTCCATTCGCTCCTTTACTCTCGAATGAATCGAGCAAATTATTCTCAATTTATTCGAATTTTGTGTGTGTGTGTGTCTAATGAAAAACTTTGTTCAGATGGGTTGGCTGTTGTATTTGCTTGCATTTTGTTTGCACGATCTCTCTTTCTCTTTTATTCACAGGATTATGTGTATGGGGTGATTGCATTCGCATCTATTTTCCCACGCAAACGACGACGAGTGAGCGAACACAGAGAGAAAATAGAGGTGCAATTCGGTCTTGCTTACGTGCACACCGAAGTTTAAGCATCAATAAATTACCGGTTGCTGGCGGTTGTGTTGATTGTGTTTTCTTCTCTTGGCTGTTGTTGATGGTGGTGGTGCTAAGTCTTGAGTCGTGTCGATGCAATGTGTAATGCGATACAATAAATAAACACCATTGACTTGTGCATCCCGCTCCAATAATTCATACTTAATAATAAATAATATAATTAGAATGAGGTAGAAATGAATGTTGAGGAAATAAGAAGAAACGTGCACGTTTCTGCACCAAAACAACAAAAACACACACACACATACATTTGGTAAATTACAAACGAGCGCTGGAAACTCGAAATAAATGCAACGCAAAGAGCAACATCAGCATCACTTAAACAATGGCCAAAAAAGTTTTACCCACTAAAATCGATGGTTTCTGTTTTTACTCGTTTAAGCAAACGGAAAAAGGATAAATGATAATTGGCAAGTATCTGGCAAAACTCAATTCGCCCGCACGCTCCGAATGCCTGATAATTTGACGAAGCGAACGAGAGCGAGCTAGCTAGCACAAATTGAATTTTTCTCCAAATAAATCAGCAAATACGAATTTAATTGTTGGAAACTTGGAAATGAAACGTGTCGATTATTGCAAACGGTAGCGATAAGCTTCACACCACCTTTCACATTCAAATGATAAGCTCGAAAATTCTCTCAACTCGACCACGAACCTCTCTCAATGCACCTCTCTCCCTGCTTCTGTCACTTCGAATTAAGCGCAGCTCAACGAGATTTACGTTATGCAACTACAATTCCAAACTTATTCGTTTTAATCCCACTTTATTAAATATTTCATTCAACAAAATCCAATTGAAATTGCTAATCAAAATAATAAGTTCTGTCCCGATTTTTCAAACGAATATTTCCACTGAACCGCTGCCACATCTTGCATTCGCAATAGATTTGCAAATGGAGAAAAAAAGGTTGGCAGCTGTAGGTGAAAAAAAAGAGAAATAATCGTGAAAAGAAACCATTCAATTAAAAGTTCAACAATAATCAGGATGAAGAAATATCAAAACCGACATACAATCCACCTAAATTTCCACCGTTGGCGAAAGCCAACCAAATCGAGACTAAACTTTTAATATTATGAGAGAGAAAAGAAAATATTACAAATTTCATTATTGAAGCTATATTCGCTCTGTGTTTTCTATTGTAATCAGGAACATTATGTCGAAATGAATGCTGCTCAAGAGCAGTGGATTTTCTTCTACGTTTCTCTCTCTCTCTCTCCAGCGAGTCGATTTTTTGCAACGCTCAACTTAAATTGCATGTCGACGAATGGTTTTTCAGCCTATGTGAACCACTTGAAAAAGTTGGATTAGTGTATCAGTAATTCAATATCGCAACGCCCAACAATAACAACACCGACCCAAGATAGGAAAATAAGGAACATTTCATAATTTTTGTAAATGATGTAACATTCAGACGACAACTGTTTTTTCGTCCATTTGGTTTGGACATTTTTTCGGAAAATTTTTACACAGAGAAACAGAGGAAACAATATGAATTGAAGTTATTCCTCAAAATGTTCTGGCCATTTTGGTAGACATTAAAATCAATAAATAAATAAATAAATTTCCATTTCGTTTGGTTTTATTTACTTCGATTGAGAAAAAAATCATTAAAAACATTAATTTAAAAAAAAATTCAATAAATCAACGTTTTTAAAGATAGACCAGATAATTTCCGGTTCAAAATCGTATATTTTTCAAAAGTTTTCTTTTATTTGCATTTAAAAAAAGAAGTTTTGTTCTAATAAACATTGAAAATTGGCATTTCCACGATTTTCGTTCTCAGCACTAAACAATACTTTTGCTCCTTGAGTTGCATGGAAAAGTAGAATGCGGGCCGTAGTTCTACGTAAGTTAAAAGAAGCAAACAACGGTAACAAGAGCAAATGATTTAGCGTGGAACAGGATTGCAATGTGCAATTTCACAAAAATACGAAACTTCTTGTTAACAATGCTATTTAGTTGAGTTGGCTGTTATCGTTGTTGTTGTTGCTTGTGTAAAAGTTGTCTACGGCAAAAAAGTATATATTAAACGAAACTTACCAAGTAATAAGTAATAATAAGAAGAAATAGGGGCCAATAATCATGGCAGCAATAGGTTGAAAGATGAAAATTCGTAAGCAAAAGAATTGTAATGAAAACATAAATGAGAGAAATATTCGTGCAATGGCAGACAAGTAGAAGACAGAAAAAAAGAAGTAGGAATGAAAAGCACTTAACAAACACAACAACGACAATGGCGCTACCAACGACAGCAGCAGTAGCAGTAGCAGCAGCAGCCGAACTGTTATATTCGAACGAAAAGCCTAGAAAAAAAAACAATTGCAAAACATATTTTTCTTATGATTGCCCATTAAAGACGTTTACATTTTTTATTTTTTTTCTTTCTCTCCGGTTTCAATTTTTCCTTAAGCCCAAAAATCGAAAGCAAAAAATCGCTTTGTTATAAAAAACATTCGGTTGAACATGCAAAAAAGCGTACCTACGTACAAAAGTTGAATGCGACCATAAGAGTCGGAGCAAAGTTATGGAGTAATTGATAAAAAAGCAGTAAAGAGAGAGCGAGTGGCAATGATTTTCAGTGATCAGGTTTTGTATGGAAGAAACAACAACATTTTCGTTAAGAGTCTTTCACGATAATTTTGCCGATTTATTCATTTCTTTGTTGTTGGTATTAGTTTGATGAAAAGTTTGTGAAACAACGTGATAGCGACGCTATTGTTTCCATCTCTATCTGCTGTTGGCTGGAGGCGGCTCACTCAAAGAATCGATCTGCCGAATTTAACTTTCATTGAAAACGTGCCTGTAAAGCACCTTATTCATTCGCAAATCGGATTTGAATATTATCATCAATTGAAGTACGATGAGTGCAGCAGCCACAAAGGCGATTGCAATTAAATTGGCCATGGTGATTTTTTTCAGCCGATTTTTTATCGTCAGTTTGCCGAATTGCAAAAGCCAAATATTTTTCTCGCTATTAAAATACATCTCTGAATTTCATCGAATTTAGAAAGCAAATCTCGGAAACCAGTGAAAAAAAAACTCATTTCGTTTGTCGGAAATTCGATTTCATTAGAATATTTTTGAATCATCATGAATATTCCTCCTTCCGTTGAACTTGCAGCAAATGGGGTTTATCACCTTTGTCTGGGATCCGATCGATTTAATTTCCGAATAAATGTGAGCATCTCTCGATAGCGATTTATTTAAATGCAATTGCAATCACAAACTTGCGGCGAATCAATGATAGATATAATTCCAACGGAAATGTAATAACGTCATTGAATCGGATGAACGTCAATACTCCCTCCCGTTTTCATTCATTCATTCGTTCGTTCATCGATTAAAAATCATGCAGGAAGCCTTACGAATGATGTAGTGACTCAACAAAAGTGTCGATTCACAAACTCGGCTCATTAATTTCAGACTTTTCCAAGTGTCGGCTTATAAGCATCGAGTGCAATCAAAGACAAAAAAAACCACTCACGAGAAAAGAAGGCGAAAAAACAACCCGAACAGAAAAAAACGTGGATTTGGTTCAATGCGCACAAAGTGATTCAGAGAAAATATCTAATCTTTCATTTCGCGTTGTTTTTTTTACTTTCTCTCGTTCATCGGTTCGAGTGTGATAAGCTCGGTGTGATAAAAAGAGGGATGAATGAAAGAACTCCATTATTTGTAAGTGATTTGCATTTAATAGGTCTCATTATTCAAAAGGGAAGGCAAAAAGAGAAAAAAACACAAACACAAACACAATCCACTGTTTTTCCAACTTTCATTCGTCGCATCATTATCCATTTGGCGATGCATAAGCAGAGCGCCAAACAGAAAAGGAAAAGAGAAAGAGAGGAAAAAAAGCAACACCAAACCACGGTGCCACTCAAAGGCTCAGGCTTTTAATTACCACTTTTTGTCACTGTTCCACGCAATCCATTATGTTTTACTGCTTTTTGCCACCGCAAATAATTGCCATTCCACAATGACAATCGAAATAAAATGGGCTTCTTATGCAAGTGTTCGCTTCAACCAAAATCTGCACCCAGCATAAATCCACACACACACACACAGGGAGAGAGAGAAGCAAAGCATGTCGAAATCATTTAGTGTGACACAAACACACAATGAAAAAAGAAAACACCATCGGCAACTGTTTTTGCATTCGATTCGCAGTTAATCAAGTGTGTGTTTCTTGTGCTCATCTTAGCAAAAGTCCACATCATTGCCGGTTTTGTTGTTTGCGTGTGAAAACAATGACGATGATCGCGCTAATTGCTATTTCGTTTGCGAGAGAGAGAGAGAGAGAGAGAATCCCATTGAATTAGCCGAATTAATACTCGGTCCAGTGATTTAATACAATTTCATTTCTTGCATTGATTCCGATATCAGCAAAAAATGAAATTAATTCCGCAACGCATCGACCATTTATTAAGTGTGATGAGAAATTTTACTCATTGAAACATGAGATAAGATAAGAAAATCTGTAAGAGAGGCTGAAATGAAGTACAATCTGTGAAAAAGAATTGACATTTGGTGCGGCACTATGATGATGTTGCATTCACTCTGGATACTCAATAGTATCCTTCGAATTTACTCCAATGCAGATATACAAACTATTTGAATACAAAGGATTTATAGAAAAATATACATATATTTGCATCATATGCACTCCCAAAAATCAGCCATATCCGTTATTAATATACCTTGTAGTAAACGCGTTCATAGTGTTTCACTGTAGTAGCAAAGTATCCTATTAAATTCCACTGTGGTATTACTACAAGAAAATTTAATAGGATACACCGCTACTACAGTGAAACACTATGAACGCGTTTACTACAAGGTATATTAATAACAGATATGGCTGATTTTCGAGAGTGTGTATTATTTTATTTCAAAATGTTATATCAATGTATACAATGGATTTTTAATAGTAGGAAAAATATTTCTTCAAATTCGTATTCATATGGATGATAGACTATATTGAAAATTGAGCGAAACTATGTTTATTGTTATTTAAATGAAAAACATTTTGTTGTACATCACCTTATTACTCATATTCAACTGACTAAACCAATATGCTAAATAAAGGTTAGCGCCCACGACGGATATTATAAATGATTTGGGGCAAAAATAGAATAAACAAAATCAGAACAGATGCTAATACTACCATTAGGGGATTTTTCTTGATCTTGTCGATGTACTTTTTTTCATCGGTTCGGATTAGGTCGAGTGAACAAATGATTCCGCTCGTAGTGGGATAATTATCCCCTCCTTTAAATTTAATTATAATGTCATGGTCAACGCGAACCTCATTGTTAAAATCGAAAGGAAATCCTAAAGGCCCACGATAAAGTGGTTGGATTGGGAATTGAATTTCGATTGTATAAGTGTGATTGGGGCGGAGTAAAATTAAATTACTTAGTTTGGTATGCGCTTTATATGGATTGTATGTCTTGTAATTTCGTTTATTGGAAAAATCAAGCAAATTACGTTGGTTGTAGAGTTCATTCACACTGCCATCGGATTTCATTTCAATAATTTTTGTATTAACCGAAAATTTAATCTTATCTGGATATTCGCAAGTGAATCCATTCAGTAGAACACGTTGATTGCAAGTGAATGTGGTTTCTAAGTTGCTTCCAAAGCCAATATAAAAGCCTCGGTCAAAATATGGGGTTACGTACCGCAACCAATTGAATCGTGAGCAATGTAAATGTTGTCCTTTAGTCGATACTTGTTTTATGCGTCGTGCAGTCCAGTTGAACTTTCTAGCTTCCATTTCACTTGCTTTGCTAACCATGAAAACGATTTCTTCCAATTCGTTTGCAGTGAATAGGCCGCGGCATGAGCGGATGCAAGCGGCTACATCTTCTTTTGTCATTGAACAGAACCGAATTTGATAGATAGACTCTTTGAGTTGAGCACGAAGACTTTCAGCGTTTGATGGATCTTCATTGTTGCGTGTGCAAGCCGCCTGCGCCCATGCGATGCACGCGTCGAAGATGTCCTTCTCTTCACAATTTAATTCATCGCACCGCAGAACATTTTCCAAAAATTCATACGGAAATTCTAAAAAACTGGATGATTTGAAGACCTTTTCAGCATTCGAACAGATTTCATCTTCGCAAAATGTCTTTAATTTCTTGGCTTCGTACATTAGTGCCAGTTGGTATCCAAAGAACATGCTATCATTAGTCAACGATTTTATGAGAAACTCTTCACATTTCTCAAATATATCGTCAGCTAACGACTGCTTGGCCAAATCAATAACACCTTCAATATTCTCCATTGTTAGGGTCACATCGTCCATGTAAGAAAATTGCAAAAATTCTTTAAAGGCATCGACAGTTGCTCGTCCATTGGTCATATCCACATCTTTATCTTCCGGCAATGATCCATTGAACATTGTACTCAACCATGGACTTGATGCGGTTAACATGAACTTATGGCCCGGAACTCGTTCACCATCGAACACAAACCAAACATCAGCTCCATTCGGATTCAAATATAAATTCTGAATCTTTTGTAAAACACCACTTTTTCTCATCGACATTTTGATTTGGCTACAAAAACGGGCGATAAATATTTGAATTTAAAATTAGAATCATAATTAAAATAGACCTTAGAAATCCTATAAAATCATACATTAACGTATACATTAAATATGTGCCGTATTTTTTTCATAAAAATGAAAACCTGTAGCTTAACAAACTGAATGTATTTAGAAAACTTCACTTACTTTGAAATAAAGCACCGAATTGTGTAAATCAAAACGACGAAATTCACTTGAAACTAATAAGCAAGAAATAATTGTGTTTTAATCAACAAGGTTTTGATAACAACTGAGATTTATCGTTTCTTCTTCTTCTTCTGTTTTTGACACTTCTTCCAGCTCTCACAAAAATTTTAGACATGTCAAGAAGCGCAAATACTTCAACTGCATACGTGATCTTCTTGCCGCTTACAATGATGTTTGGTTTTTGTGTTAGTAAAAACTTTGTTTTTAAAATTGTAGAACGATATGGTGATCAAAACAAAGCAAATTTATTAAATTCTAAAAGCCTCTAACAGCGATCAACTTAATACATTCACAAGATCCGATTGAATGAACCGCTTATCATTCGCTCTAATATGAACAGAACCTTAATGTTCATTTGACAGTTGCTTTGCATCTTACAATCTCTTCCACTCCAGTGTCTGTCAAACGATGCAGTTGATAAAGAGTCCAAATATGGCAACACTGATCATTTGTTTACATTTTTTTTGTTGACATACACCACACATACGTTATGTTCGATTTCATCACTTGAAACAATGATTGCATCTTATCACAGCTGTTTTCTTCTATCGCACGGTATAAAACACTGTTTCGGACCCGGAAGCAGTATTATTCTATTGCAAATAATTAAAGTGACTCAGTGAAGATAATATTTGTGCAAACTTTATTATCCACATTTTTTTAGTATTTCATTCTTGAATTTCAACCAAAGAAATGGAATATTTTATTTCCCAATGGTTTTTGGCCTAATTGGTAAATGGCTTTACAATCGATACAAAGACTAAGATAATTTGCACGATGAAATGTTTTTTGTGATGCTAAATGAACAGAATTGTTGTAAATCGAATAAAATCAGTGCGCATATTCGATGCAAAACGAAATATTGTATGGGGAAGTTGATGCTAAAAAAATGGTTAAATTGATCGATTCGGCGGAATGCTCCATTTACATTGCGATGTAAAACTTTAAAAATGAGCAACTCATAAGCAGCATGTTGAATGGTAAAAATGGTCGTTGACAGATCGAAGATAACTGTACACACATCAGTTGCTGGTTCAAAGCGGCTGGTTCTTTATTTCAAACGTTTGAATTTTCTTGTTATTAATGGGCTTATTCGGTATCTAGGTGTTGACGTCAGGCTCGCAGGTGAAGAAAGAAAGTTGATGCATAATAAATTCTGTTTGATTGACCCAATGTTTCCCAACGGTATTGTTATCAGCGGATCATTGAATTGGAGCAATGGAGTAGGTTGATCATTATTTAGATCGAATTAAAAAAATTTCTTGTGTTTCTAATCTGTAATGAAATTCATTGTGTATCTTCTCTTCATAGGGAATCCGAAACAATTGCGAAAATGTCACTTTCATTTGAAATAAACGCATCCACGAAGAGTACAAGGCATATTTTGATGAAATGTTGATGAAAATCGCATCACCGTTCATTTCATAATCGAATCGAATGATGCAACATGCATGTGCATAGGTTGAAATTTCTTCAATGTAATGAAAACCCACCTCTCCAGTTTTACTGGTGATAATCGGATATTGAGGTCCGTACCACAAACATGTGAAAGTTGAAATACTTTCCCATGGAATTTCCAAAACGAGGCTACTTTCTCATTGGAGAGACGTAAATAATTCATTAGATGACAAAGGAGTCAAACCGAAACATAATGGGCGTAACAAATCAGTTGATTCAGTACAGCAAACCAATCTTTTTTACAAGTTTTGATTGAAAATGTCTAAAAATAAATGTTGAATAAAGAAATGGAGCCGTATTTAGTTTTTATTTGTTCACATTGTATTTTCAGTGGTGTTCGTTGTCGTTCAAACTACGCAGATCCTTATGACAATTTCAATTATGGTAACACCACTCATTTGTTTGTAAACCACTTTGCTAATGAGCGACACAAACACAGACATAAGCATAAATTGTATTGTTTACAACCAAGCCGTCTATCACCCAGTATAAGACATTGTTTCCCAACATGAAGTTTAGTTATTCTATCACAGGCGTTTGAAGTGATCGTTTTTTTTTTAAATCCATATTCCCGTTCAAAAGTGACCCATTTTCAACAATGGATGGAACACTTGCTGTTTTTTTGGCAATCGCATTTGTATTTTGGTTCTACGAAAATGTGTTGAAGACGCGTATTGAGGTCTGTTTTGTTACTATGGACAATACCACTTGTTCCAATTTGAATAACGCACGGAATCACGGCACTAGATGTGAAAGCAAATATTGTCCGGAAAAATTGATGTCGAAAATTGCCAAAGTGATTGACTTGGCTCAACATTCGATTGATATTGCAATGTACAATTTAACGAATCACAAAATCGTTGGAAGCATTTTGGGAGCACGGAAACGTAATATCGATGTACGCTTGATAATGGATCGGTCTGCATTGGAAGGATTAGACAACCACACGGCCTTCATAAGTCTAAAGACAGCTGGTGAGAAATATACATTTTTGTTTTGTTTTAGTTTTTATCAACAATCTGAAGCCGAACTAAAAATATCTCCAGACTTTTGCACGTGAGTAAACTTTGTTTGTGTTTTTTTTTGTATTAGGAGTTCATATTAAAATTGCCGGCGAAGAGAAGAAACTAATGCACCATAAATTTTGCCTAATTGATACAAATCGTTGGATTAACGTTGGAATGATCATAAGCGGATCTTTGAATTGGACATATGGCGTACGTCTTTCTTAACAATTTGATTTAGTTATTGAATGATTTACTGGTTCTACATATTCGTTGAAAAAATATAATAATTTTAATTTTTCTTCATTTTTTTCTTGGATTTAGGGATTCAATCAAAACTGCGAAAATGTAACTTTTATTGAAAATCGGTTCACTCAAAATGAATACAATGAAACCTTCAATCATATTTGGAGTAAAATTGCAAAGCCAATCTAACAATTGACCCAATCAAACAACAATGTACAGATGCAATTAGTATGCATCAAGTGGAAATTTCCACAATATCAACACAGTCTTTCCTTTATCAAGGTCAACGGGTGTCAATGGAAACATACAAAAGTCGAGTAACTTGTTCCCCTTCAAATTGAAAACGAGACTGTTTTACGTTCCAGTTATTTTTCGTTGGGATATTTTTTATCAAATTGCCATCGATTCCAATTCTGATTATGATTCGAACGATTGTGTCGGTTGAACACATCAAGTCGAATACAATTTTTAAAACATTCCTTTTACCTTCAAAGTGTTACTCAATATCAGAAAAATAATTTAATTGAATAATGTATAAAAAAAATCATTCTATTAAATACATCAAACGAAAAAATGCGAAATCAGCGGTTTCTTTTGTTCATTGTGTCTTAGTTACAGAAAAAATAGCTTTCAGAAAGAGAAACCGAAACTGAAATCTGATATGGAATTAGAATTGTTTATGTATACAACGATATCACACTATAACATTAAAAGTGTTGCGCCGTCCATATATAGCAACACTTATCACTTGTAGGTCTCAATTAGACGTCAAACGATATGCATACGATTGCATGAGTGTAGAAGTATTTTCTGTTGTCTTTATCAATAAAGTGTTTCCATGTGTTGAACTGTCAGTGTATCGGTATCTTATCGTGACCAAATGTTGAAGCGCATTATCGGCTCCGCAACTAAATTGTATTGTTAAATTCCAGCTGATTGTGAAATCAATTGAAATTTAGTTTGGTTTATGTTCAGTTATCAACTAAACTGAAGCAATGACAGACGAGAAAGAAAGCAACGATTTTTTGTTGGTGCCCGCTCTGGTCGGAATAGTTGTACTGCTGCTTTTGAAAGTGTTTTATGATTTGTATCGAAAATTAACGAAAAGTCACCATGAAGTGTACTTTGTGATGATGGGTGAACCGGAATGCTGCAATCCAAATGACAGAAACATGAATCCGGGAAACAATTGCCGCAAATATTGCATGGGAAAATTGTTGCTGAAAATTATGAATCGTATCAATGGAGCAAAATCATCCATTTGTGTGGCTATGTACAACTTTTCGAACCATCGACTTGCGGACTGCCTTTTGCGTGCACATCGACGTGGTGTCAAAATACGACTGGTTACGGATAAGTCAACGTGCGAGAGCGGCGAAAATAAAACACAAGCAAAACGATTGAAAGATGCAGGTAAAACGATATTGGTTCTGATTTTGACATTTTGTCCTATTTTTGCTTCACAAAATGTGTTTCGAGTTAAAAAAAAAAAAACATTCAAAAATCCAATACAAACTCATTATGTTCTGTTGACCAGGAATTTCCGTGCGTATATCTGGCGAAGACGACAAATTAATGCACCACAAATTCTGTCTCATCGATGGAACATCACCGAAAGGCGTTCTCATAACTGGATCTCTAAACTGGACTTATGGTGTAAGTATACACAAAATCATCATCGACATTCTGAAACACAATGAAATTCAACTCAACAAACCAAATGAACCATTCTTTTTAAAAAAAAAATTTTGAATTTTTCACAGGGTTTATCAAAAAATTGCGAAAATGTGGCATTCATCAGCAATGGCCGTGTTCAGCAATTCTACCGCGAAGCCTTCGATCATATTTGGAACAAATTCTCCACACCGTATTATCCGCGCACATCGAATGTTTAACAATGACACACTGTCATTGTCAACAAATTGAAGCAAAATGAAACAAATTCCATGAATCCAAAGACTTTCCAAACGAATCGAATTTGGTTTGCGGTTGCCAATTGACAGAATTTTTGAACGAATTTATTTTCTACTTTTTTTTCTTTTTTTTGAATGGTAGAATATTTAGATTTAAGTCGATGAAAAATACATAAAATGAAATATTTGTAAGAAAAAAACCCAAAATGGAAAAATGTAGACAAATCAACAATCAAGTTGATGTTACGATTTGTGGCGAGAAAAAAATGTATGACTCATAACGGAGCACAGCTATCACGACTGGATAAAGAGATTGCAAAAACAAAAAGCAATTAATCACATGTGACGTACTGAAATATTGTACAAATTAAAATGTCTTTTGTTCAATTTAAGTGTCAGATACATGAGTGTGGCAAAAATGAGCGAAAAATTCAATATTTTGACAAAATTGGCATTTGGGTTATAATTTTGTTTTCATACAAGCCATTTTTGGATATAAACCTTAATAAAAAAAAAGTAATTAAATATTATAAAGACACCCTCACATCTTTTGGAATATCAAAGTCATATTATTATCTGCAAAACTATTAATCTCCTGCATTTATGTAACATTCTGTTGGTATTGCGAATATTAATTCCATTGAACTACATCGATATTATGATGACATTGCTAATTGCTATTGAATTAGGGTTATCTCAAAACCTCTATTGTGTATTGAATGTTGCATTAGTAGAATTAATAATCGAGTTAATGGATAGAAACCTAGTCTTTTGTTCTCGTGTTTGCATTGAATTGCAAAACAAAACCGAAATTAATACAAGAGTCTTGGGTCATTTTCGTGAATCAATTAAATTTTCACATCTCATCGCTTCCATTGAAATACCCCGAAAAATTCATTGTAATGATGGCACATTGTTCTTTCTTCTCATGGCGATGAGTTTCGTCTATCCAAAAGCAATTGACATCCAATTTCAAGTCTATTGTGTGTATGGGATTCAATAAAGATTTCTGCAACAGTGTCACCGGTCGATAAACATTCTCCTCTACGGTGGAATAATATGAAATGGTTCGGCTGTCCCATTCATTCATATTTGTTGAATGCCAATCATTGGGTCTGGATGACAGGTAATCAATAATGAAAATGCAGATACATTTTGCACCAATCCGAGTGTCACTCACGGTAGGAGAGCGAGAGTACGAGAGTGAGAAGTCGAAAAAGAAAAGAAAGGAGAGACGAAAAATTGTGAGAAAAATACATTGATTACGCTCTGAGTCGCTGAGTTACTGAGAATGTCTCGTTGACATCATTGCGGAAATTACATTCGCAGCAAGGAATATTATGGTGAAATCCATCGTTTCAAGTCGGAAACAGCTGCGCCGAACTGACACAATATTAATTAAATTAAATATTATTATTTTATTTTTTTCTTCGTTCATTTTCTACCGTAACCATATCGTATCAAGAAAGGAAATGAACAACTCTTACTCCTGCCGAATCCCCATCCAAACTGAATTCGAAAAATCCGAAGATTTTGCAGCTTAGCTACAGCCCGAAAATCCATCCAAAATATTGAATCGCTTTATCACTGTTCAATCTGACGTTTATTTGTATTATTATGATTTTTATTCTGTTTTATTGTATTTTCTTTTCAATATCTTCTCAATTTGCAGTAGCTCGACGACGTCGTTTCGCCGAAATACCGGATTTTTCCTCAAGCAGCAAACGAACATCTTGCCAAACTTTTCGGGTAAAATCGCAAGCGATGAAGAGTGTCGACACACATACACACACTGATTGGGGGAAAAATGTGCAAAATGAAAGTCGACACTAATATTAAATCTGAAGCATGGAACTCAACTGAACTGTTAGATATAGCATATATTTATGGGCTAAAAACACATCCACCGCGTGTCTCTTGTATAAATAAATAATATTATTATCACGATTCCTTCTCTATTGTTCGATAGTGTCATTCGAAATTGCATGATTTTGTGAAATCACACATTTTTCCGTTGGCACAACGTTGGCGTCGGTTGCTGCTCTGCGTCTACTACTGCATACTATATTGCTTTTCGTACCGTCTGCGTAAATATTTTCTCTCATATTTTCAACGCCAATCTACCGAATGTATAGCATCATCATCTCTTATTTTCATTGTAAATATACAATAAAGTGTCGAATTATTTCGTTTTTTCAAGCTTTCTCGTCGATTGGAAGCAAATGTTGATCTTAACAAAATGCTCGAAATAATATTGTGACAAGGGAAAAAACATCGGCATCAAATATGATGACAAATTTCCATTCAGCACTTCAAACAATGACACTTTACTTGCTTCGTCGCAACTCAATGCTATGATGTTTTGACCATTTGCAAGTGTGTTGTTTTGGAATGTTTCATTGGCCTTGTTTGTTATGTTTTGAAGCCGTTCTTGGAAATGCTGAACCGAAAACGATGAACTTCACGAAATCAAAGGAACGAATTCCAGGTAAAGTAAAATGCGTAGAAAAAGATGGAATTACCTTTCGGATCAACTGTTTTCGCCATATGGGTTGTGGATTTAGTATGATGAAAGATAAAATTAGAGGATCGACGGGATTTTCGTCCGTGATCCAATTTTGTGCACGTCAAATATATATATGTCAATAATAAATGCCATTTCACAAATTAAATAAATATAAACACAACATTTCTCATCTTTGGTCCATTTATTTTCAATTCGATCCATCGCGGTGAAAACTCGGCAATACGGAAAATAAGCGTGGAGAGAGATAAACGTAAGAAGAAAAAAACACACTAAAACATTTTGCTGGCCATTGGAAATCAGTTTATGTTAAATAAACACACCGAAAATCCGAAATCGTTGGCCCTTATCTTTTGAGTACTTCGAAATCAAAAGCGATTCAGTGTTTTCTCTTCTTCTTCTTTTCTTTGTGGAATACAATTTTACCATCAAAATCCCCAAAGGATGAGCGTTTTACTTTTGAGAGCAATTTCATTTAATTAACTTTACAGTCTTAATAGTGCATATTTGGTGGGGGAGCGAAACGGAGAGAGATAAACGTAGACAGGAAGGGGGGACGAAATACAAAGTGAAAACATCAAAGTTAGCAGATTATTCTAATCCATTTAGCCGATTTCACCGATGATTAAATAATCATAATTCGCTTTGAAACACCGATTTGGTTCGAGCCATCATCGACGTTAGCTCAAACTCTCAGACTCAGAATGGCTATATCTAACCGTTTTGAACTTTGGAACGGTGACTCATCTATTACAATTTTGATTATGCTTGAAATCCATGGGCTTTCACACGTTCTCTACAGCACCAAAACAGAGAGAGAAAAATATTATGATTATTTTCCCCGGTCGAGATTACACGTAGACGGTACGCAGAGAAGATAAAACGAAGACAATATTGTTGATACTCTCTTCGGGTACTTGAATGGAATCAAATACGCTTAATCCATCTGATTTGTTCCAGCCGGTCGATCCATACGCAAATACTCTATGCGAATAATGTTTTATAACTCTCGGAGAGGAATAGCAAGCAGCAAATCTGCCGCATTATCGAAAATACACATTCATTGCAATCAACCATGTTTTTACATCACTCCGCCCCACAAAACGATACTTATTACGATGCTGGATTAGTTGTTTTTTCGGTGTTGTTGTTACTGTTGCTATTGTTGAGTGTATACTCTAGGCTACGATGTGTACCGTTATAGAAAAGCTGACATCGAGATTATTATTATGCAGAGTTACAGTTTCCAAAATTAGGGCTTCGGATAATAAACCGACTCTTGACTCGATTTCATCCCACTCTTGACTGAATTATTCATTTCGTTTCCTGTTCAACATTTCATTGCAACCGGAAAAGGCGGTTTTGTTGTTCTGTCTTTTATGTCATCATCTGGTAAAACGCAACAAATTGTGACGAACGGCGTTTAATATTTCAGATCGAAGCGTATGCAGAAAATAGTTTGTTTTTTTCCCATCATTTTTTTTTATTACTGGTTTTGATTTGATCTTCATATTTATTTTATGGGTAATGTGAATCGTTTTCAAGAAATAAAACAGTACCATTTTGCCAACTTTTGAATGTGTTAAATTCATTTTTTAGGTATGCATTTCTAACCCGAATCTCTTGGAGTAACTGATTTTTCTCTCTTCCTCTTTTTTCCTCTCCCTCTCTCTATGTCTCTCCATCCCACAGAAAAGGGAAAAACTATTGAAATGTGAAAATGATGGTTTTGGTTGAACGGAAGGGACAAACACTGACGCACAAGTCAAAAGTGAAGATGATGGTCGATACAGCAGTTTGCTTTTTATGAGGATGAAAACCGTTTTCCTCGAGAGTTGTTTTTTTTCTTGGTTGCTTTCAAAGAACCTTCTTTCGGTTGATTTTATGCGCATCAACAAGCATCAAACTGTGAATCAAATGTGCGTGTTTTGTTTGTGGTTTCTTCCTTTTTATTCATTAAAATTCGCTTCAAATTGGAATGATAAAATGAAACACGATGCGAAGGTTGAAATTCAATCGGAAAGTGTGTAATATATACTTGGAATAAGTAACACTTGACTTAAAACATACCATTATTAGCCTAAAAGCTTGAGTCAAATTGAACGATAAACTGGTGAAATTTCGTGTGATAGCTTTTCCGATTCTATTAAATTGAAATCATTTGAAATTGACCTTTTTCTACGCGTTACCAAACGAAAATAGACGTTTCACTTGACTAAAAGAGTGTACGCAACTCATACAGATTATCAAATGTGGTGAAAAATGCTTTCATCCCACGTTTCAAACTTTATTTTAAGTGTGTAATATTGTGACTTTCTGCACTTTTCGATAGCGTCACGCGCTTGCTGAACAAGACAAGAAAAAAAAGGATCGAACGAGCAGAAAAGTCAAAAGGAGAAATGATTGCAACGTGACGCGCATTAAGAGTAACGAAAAACAACGTTTGCTATCTTATGTAAATGAACGACTCACTTTGGAACAAACGCGGCACAGCACACACACACACACACTCCCCACGAAAATCATAAAACAAAAGAGAAGCCGTGCGCAACAAATTCTTGAGTGGCTTGCCGACGGTGGTTTACATTTGAAATCACAATTTCGGTAATCATTTGAAGTGTTTTGAATGAAGCAAACGTGCATTATTAATGGTTTCACCGGAATAAACCAGCCAAACGTACAAATTTGGTTTGCCGTTGAATTTTTCGTGGGAAAATTCTGTTTTTGTCACATTTTGCATTTCTTTTCTTCTTTTTTTTTGTTGACAAACAAGCACGATCCCACATCAATTTTTGGATTTGGTTTTGATTCACCATTTTTACCTCATATGACTAGAGGAAAGGTCCATCGTTTGTGACAAGTGGAGAGAAATCTCCATTTGAACGCAGATGATCGTCAGCATCATTATCGCTCCCATTACTTGGAATGGTTTTTGCATTTTGCCATCGAATTGATACAAAGTAACGATGGACGGTGTGTGACGGGTGTGTGACAATGGAACCAGAAATTCAACTGAATCAAAAATGCACTTT